AACCCTGTAATAACACAATAAGGTCATCTGCATAAGCCTGTGACATGCCAGGTTCCTCCCGTAGAAGTACTAAGAGTGAGTCGAATACCAGGTTCCACAGGAACGGAGAAAGAATACCACCCTGCGGACACCCTTTAGTAATATCTCTCTTTACTTCATAGTCAGCGAGACTAACACAGATATTCCTGTTTTTAATCATGAAGATGACCCATCTAGTTATCATAGGGTGAATATGACTTCCAGTAAGGGCCTTATGTATTTTCTCTCGAAACCGATGTTATCAAAGGCTCCTACAATATCCAGTAGAATCCCAATGGCAAAGTGTCCGTCTATAATTGTTTTTCTATTCTCCACACGAGTTGGTGTAAGGCCGACTCAGTGGAGAAGCCAGGCCTAAAACCGTGTTGGTCTAAGCCAAAGGTATGTTTCAGATTATTATCTGACTGGAGGTGCCAGAAAATCAATCGCTCCAACAGCTTAAGCTGGAAGGATGTTAGCGTGATCATTCTAAAAGAGTTTGGTTTCTCATATGTATCTTCTTTTCCTGGTTTAGGAAGAAACACACCTCGTGAAGTTCTCCAAACCTTAGGAACATATCCTAAAAATCAAACTGGACCTCGAATATGTCCACGAGAATGTGACCAAAAATATCCCAGCCTTTCTGAAGCAGAATTGGGTAAATGCCATCGTTCCCTGGAGATTTAAAGGGAAGAAATACATCAAGGGCCGCTTTAGCCTTTTCAAAATTCACAATTGTCTTAGCAAAATCCAGATCTAATGGATTATGAAGTAGTTCCAATGGATTTTCCTGGGGGTCAGAGGTGACACTTTTGTCCCCCAGATGAAAATTCAACATGGTCGAAAGTGTATCCAAAGGGTTTATAGTATAACTGCCATCAGGTCGCATAACCGATGAGAGTTGAGACTCCTGAGATCTTTTAAGAATCTTATATACTCTGGCAGTCTCATGGTAGGACAGAATATCTGTGCAGAACGATCTCCATGAGTTGTATTTAGTTTTCCTGATTTCACTTTTAAATTTCCTTTGTAGAATTTTGAAGTTAGACCAGTTAACTTCAGATTTATTTCTGACAGCTTTCCTGTGAGCTCTCCGAACCTCTAGGCGGAGGCTTTCAAGCTCCTTGGTCCACCAACTCTCTTGCTAGGAGAGTACTTCCTTCGTTTGAGAGGGCATGATGCATGATAAGATTCAATAATGATATTTGTCAATTGTTTGCTTGAGTATCAAGCTCCTCGACTAACTGTACAATTATTGTCTAAAACCTGAAGGTTAATGACATTAGAAACCAGGAAGTCCTTATAAAGGTCCCAATTTGTGTTTTTAATGTTTCTGAAATATTCAGCTGGAATTTCATCTCTAATACAAAATTGTATAAGGCGATGGTCAGAAAGTGAGGGATTGTCACTTACATGCCAATTCTCAATAAGGTTATAAATATCAGAAGAAGTTAATGTGAGGTCAATGACTTCTTCTCTTCTTCTGTTAACAAAGGTGGGGCGATTTCCCCTGTTTACCCAAGTTAGGTTGGTATTCATTATAAAGTTCCATGAGTTTTTTCTCCTCTAGGATTAGTATCAGAACTGCCCCATGACAGGTGGTGAGCGTTAACATCACCACCAATAACCATAGGAATATTGTTTATTTTACAGAAACTCACAAGATCTATAAATTCTTGCGGAATGTTAAGGTCATAAGCCATGTAAACCGAGCAAAAACAAATGTTTCCTCTCAGTGAACTGTTTATGTCTTTAATTAAAATAGCAGTTAAGTCCTCTGATGTAAATTGGGATAATTTCATAGCCTTTATATTTTTAGAAATGTAAATGCTAGTTCTAGGTCTTTTATCAGGTCCCTCTGTCGAAAAGAAGTGAGCGTTCACGGGCCTACCAAGGATTTTACCCTTGTACACCGAAGGTTCTTGAATTAAGGCAACAAAAGTGCCTTGCTTACCTAATTGAGCAGCTAAATTGTATGAAGCTGCTCTGCTATGTTGCAGGTTTAGCTGACATAACCTTAACCATTAAAACAGATTAAATGAGAGATAGAAACTTACCCTGAAGAATTTTAGGAGAAACTTAGTTAAAAGTCACATCCTTAACCCACTACTTCAAAGGAAGTAGTGACAGGGGAAAATTATTCAGATGTCTTCCCCCCGAGCCTCCAAAGAAAGCTCTGGTTCCGACTCCTTTTCGGTCTTCCCTTCTTCCGTCAACTGTTTCTTCGGAGGATTCTTGGGCGGAGGAATTGATTTCTCCTGTTGTCTTGGTTCTTTCAGCTGTACAGAGCCACGGGCACCACAAAAAATTTGAAATTCTGGGCCTCCAGATAATCCATGAGCTCAGGTTCCACTCCCAGCACCAAGGTATTACCTCCGTCTCCAGTGATAACTGCCTTGATGGCGATCTTCTTAACATCCAGGCCCTTGTTACAGGCATCAAGGAGCTTGATGTTATCTTTTGGTGACCTGTTACCAGGAAACCAAGCGAAAAAACCCTCTTCATGGGGGTCTGTCCCCGGGAGCCATGGTGTGATAACCGGGATGGTTTTCTTCAGGGCCAGGTAGATCATTGATTAAAGTCTTTAGGACAGTCCACAGTCTCCTGGTCCTCACATGCAATGTTGAGGCCATTCGGCTGCAGGACTGTCTTGTGCACCCTACAGGTGGTGATGAGCCGTCGAATAATTCGGTCATCAATTATAGAAGTGATGAAGTCCGAATCCACCGATGTTATGTCTCTGGATTCATCCTTGCAGACGACCTGCAGAGTAATTGCCTTCCTCACAGCTTGACTATATAGCCGTCGTTTCTTGAGGGCCATTTCCGGGGTGTCACCAGCAATGCGTTCTCTCTTACGAGACTCTTCATTGCTTCGATGGTTCTTCCTCACCAGTTTGGAGGTCGCTCCAGAGATCCCAGCTTTATCTGTTTTCTCCTTTGCTCCCTTCTTCCCAGAGATCGAGATCCCTTCCATGGCCCTCTCTAGCCGTTTCCACTCTTTCTGGCGTTGCCTTTTTTCTCTTCTTTTATTTACAACCTCCGTCATTGGTGACTGATCATCCGCTTGCGCATCTGGCACAGTAATTCTGACAGAGGAGTCAGTATCCATCCCCACTGGGTTTAAGGCGTCCGTGTCCGAAGGCACATTCACCCTTTCACCAGTGGTTCTGGCACACAGAGCACAGCTCCCGACTCTTTGGTTCAGTCATTCCCGGAGCTCAACATACTCTCTCGACGAGGCACTAACTGTGATACAGTCCTCAGTGAACTCGATGATCCGTTCGGCACTCGCTGCCCAGCTGTCAACTCGATCGACTCAAGGCACCCACTTACCGACTGTGGACCAGCAGGGTTTATATAGCTTTCGACTTGTGTTCGAGAACATTCTGAGCTAAACCGGTAAGAATTCTTTCCAGAAGGTTCTCCATCCGTCATGCCATATCGCCAATTTTCTTGCCAAATGTGGCAACCTTGCCTTCCTTTGCTATTTTATGGCAACCCTAAATCTGCTTTGCGGGAAGCCATTTCACATTTATTTGTTTACTTTATTAAACATTTCTTTCAATTTAAGTTGTTTGGGTTTTTTTTTGTGCTAATACTTTCTCTTTAATTCTATAAACAGACATAATTTCTCGTTCAGTTACAGAGTTCCACTGTTCAAGTCCTGTAATTGCTGTGTCAAGAATACCGACTAACTTGTCAATTGAAATTTTTTCGTTTTCCAATAATCTCTCTGTCACTTTCTTCACTATCGGAAGTGCGCATGGGTAAACGCTTTACTGGCTTTACGCACATGCGTAGCGAGTGTGCGCGTTACGCGCATGCGTAAGTTTGTGGCTTTAAGGTCCAGATTGTCGATCATTCTGGATTATGAATGTCCGGATTATGGACTTTGTACTGTAGTTGACCATGGGAAAAGCATGACTTTTCCAAATTCACCCCTGCTACTTGTAATGTTTTCCCTTGAGCTTTGTTAATATTAACAGCAAAACTAAGTTTGATTGGAAACTGCAGTCTTTTAAAGTGGAATGGTAGGTCAGTGGGGATTATTGGGATTCGAAGTATGATAACACTTCCCCTTTTCCTACACCTGTTAAAGTAGTGGCACCGCTTATGTTCTGCCCTAATTGTGTGATCCAAAGCCTCGTTCCATTACACAGTCGAAATGCATCTATATTTTGCATAAACATAACTGGTACATTTAGTTTCAATTGAAGTTTATATGAGGGTACACCTGATAGCTCTAGTGAATTTAAAAACTCAACAGGATATGAAGTGCTGTATTCTGTATCCATGATTGTATCTATTGACAAATACTCTTTTTTTTTTTTTTTTTCCTCCCTGCCCCTCTTTTAAAATGTTAATGTTGATTTTGTTTATGATTTCATTTGTCGGTGCTAGAATTGCTCTTGCACATAACCAGTGATCACTATTTAAATTTTGATGCAAGTGCGGTTAAACTTTAGCAATAAGCTCCACATCATTTTCTATCAAGTTACAAAATTCCTCTGAAAGTAAAATAGAACCTTCAGCATCGGTGTCCAAACATCCATCGCCGATTTTCAGTAGTGTCTCTGTGCAATTACCTGAATCTACATCAGTATGAAGATACACTCTCATATTTGTCTTAAGACAGAATTTTTCAACTTTTGCCCATAAACTTGATGATTTAAGACAGGCTTTGAATTCATCTGTAGGTGTACCTCTCTGAATTACCGGCAGAATTTGTCGGAAATCACCAGCCAATAAAACTACCATTCCTCCTATAATATCTGTGCTGTCTCACAAATCCTGAAGAGTTCGGTTTAACGCTTCTATAGCTTTTTTGTGAGACATCGTACTTTCATACCACACTAAAAGCTTACATTGTCATAGCATCCTATTTCGAGAGCTATTTTTACTGAAATTGTAGATGGGCGAATCATCCTGTGCAAGATTCAACAACAATTTTAAAATGGAATGTGCACTGACGACCGCCGTTCAAAATTGTAGTAGGTATACCAGAAGAAGCCACAGCACTGCTATTTTCTGGTCTTTTCTGACGGACATTAATAATAAATTTAGCAAAAACGTTTTCCCAGATCTTCCAGGAGCGCCGAGAAAGAAAAATGCACCATTTCGGGATTCTATTTTACGTAACACCTGATGGAACACGTAACTTTGTATTGGAAGTAATTGAGGGACTAATTCTGTCACTTTCTGCTGCAATGCAATGAAATTGTAATCGAATTCTTGAGCAATTTCATCATTAAAGTAATTTTTGTCTGATCGTCGTGGACTAAGAATTCCAAAATCTTGAAGCTTCTTCCCCATCAGTGTGAAAATCTTGTTTTCAATTATAATCAGTGCTTCATTATAGATGTGCTCATTGAAATTCATATGTGCATGTATTCGCTGCAATCGCCGCAAAATATCTTCCACCATGTCCTTCTTGTACTTATCCCATACAGTTTGAGGTTTAGTAAGGCCGCAAGATGATATAAAGGTTCCGTAAATTTCCCTAATTTTATCTGGTGATCGACATTGTCCAGCTTCTTCCATAGTTTCATTCAAATGGTTATCATTCTCTAATGTTCCCTGAGCTTCACATGCTTTTCTATAAGTTCGACAGCTAGTTGGGCCTTGAACATGACGCAATAAAATGCGCAGACAAAAGCATTCAAAACTCGTTATGTGGACAGTGTAGACCCGACCAAGAGCGTCTGATGATTTAACCCCTGGTTAGTTTTCAACAGGCGTACCTTGAATGCGACATTGCCATTATTTTTTTGAGTTGTTTGGTGTATAATAATGGGGAACTTCGGAATACGATAATCTTTTCGCAAAAGTATCTGTCTGGCAAAGCTGGAAAAAAGCGTTCAATGTGGTTTTAGGAGGAGATAAAATTTCTTGAAAATTATTCTCATTAAAAATAACACGCTGTCCATTTTCTAAATGTGTGGCAAGATGTGTAACAGTCCAACCAAGGAGCCGCCACGTCGCCTCATTACTACTGACATATCGCCCTACTTGATAGGTTTGTATTTCATTCAGAGGCTGCAACACACCTTCATTATGTAGATTGAAGATCGCCTGATCGCTCCCTTTATTGATATATTTACAAATACATTTAATACCACGAACAGAGTTGCAGGTTTCAACATTAATGTGAGCATTAAATAATTTACATAGAACAGGTGAATATGGCACAACCCAGCTATTATCAAAAGTCTTGACTATCCCACTGCAAGTTTGAATGGTAACTCTTCTACCACCATCTTCGGGTGCTTTTCATGTGTATAAAGGGTAGCCCTTATCGTTGTGCACTGTTTCCTTTAGTAGCTCCCGAGGGAACTTTTCAAACATTTCCCATTTTTCATGCAAGGTGATGCTAGATTGTGACCATGAATCATGTTTTTGATTACCATCTCGTGCAAATTCTTATCTAGTTCTGGATACGGGATTACGGCGCTTATAATGTTATCTATTTGGTTGAAACGCAGCTTTTGTTTTAACCAAATAAGAATGTGCACATGTGGCAGAACTTGTTTCTGCCATTCAATGGAGTACATGTGGCACTGGATGTTTCCAAATACTTTTCCTTTTGTTATTACATTAATGATCTTTTGAACGTTTAAACGAAACACGCAGGCAACTATATCATGTCGATCAGTGGCTCTTTGTCCGAGCAATAAGCTCTTCTGTTATTTCTTTCCATGAAGGATTGCAGATAGAAGTTACAAATAGATCAGTCCTACCATAAGTGCGTACGTAGGCGAAAGCGTCTTGTGTGTATTCATGCAGATAGCGGGGACTATTCACAAAAGCGGAGTGAAGCCCTTGCGTAAGTTGTTAGGGTTAATATTACCATCTATGCAAATTGCATCTTGTAGGTGAATGTAATTTTCATTTCGTAGTTGTGTCTGGTTTAAAGAAATGTAACAAAGGCATTCGCTCTCTACTTTGATGTACGTATCTAATAAGAATTGATGAAAGAGCTGCTTTGACCCCGCGGAAGGAGGTCGAAATCATTCTCTCGAAGCATCATGTGATAGGCATAAAAATCCATGCAGGAAACTTTTTTATTGAGATTTGGCTGGTTTGTTGTTGGATTAATCTGTGAAATATGAAAATAGTATCCCAATCACCCTTTACTAAAAATTAATGGGTACTGCAAAGCATAGTAAAATTTATGAGTATCTGCTACACGTATCAGTGTGTTATCATGTGCTCGTAATACTATATCTCGTGGAGAGCATGGGTCACCAGTAACCAAGATAGCAACTTCATTAATTGTCAGTGCATTATAGTTCTTCTCATGTTCACTACGTGGAGTTGGATCAGCAGGAATGACGACTTTGTAATCGTCTCGAGGCCAGTTTTCTATTGCAATTTTGAAGGTATTTATCAAAACGTTATGGTCATGTAACATTCTTTGAATTTTCAATACTATATTTCTTTCAACTCAGTCAATGTACTGACAATGACGGCTTACTTCATTTTCTTCTTGACCCATAAAATAAACTGCAAAAATTTATGCGGTTCATTATCTGTTAGAAACAGCGAACCAATTCGATGATATATATGGCCTTGTACGTAAAAGTAGGTGAAAACTTGAGCATTCTTATCTCTTTGTCTACTCCAAAATATGTCATTTGAAGCAAGAGTTGTACTTTCTGATTTTACTTAAAATATGCTTTGATTCATCTGTATCATATAAATATAGAGTTTTCACCGGCTCTTCTGGTTCACCAAGTAAAGAAAGCAAAACTTTACCATTGGAACAGCACATTCCTGCAGTTTCATCTTTTCATTTTAAAGCATCATGAAATAGGCATTTTTTACTCATCGAATCAATAACAATTAATGGATGATTATGATAATCAATTAAAGGATCGTATTGAAGTCCAGAATCATTAAATATGGACCAATTGTTATGCATGAAATTTCGGCGGTGTTCACTTTGCATTTCTGCCTGAACGATTCTTCTCGCCTGCAATTGTTATGGGGTATTTCTCACTTTAACCCCTTAACTGCTGCAGGCGTATATATACGCTTTGCTCAGCTGATACATTAACTGCCACAGGCATATGTATATATATACGCCCTTCCAAACTACTATCATTGACTTTCGCACTGCTACACATAAAATTATTCTCAAAGCTTTGGTCTGCAACACCACAATGACCTTGACAAAGTATGCGAAGGAGGATACTATTTCAGAGAAGTGTGGGGAGAAATTGGAGAGAGGGGTGTGTCTAAAGCGATGAAAGTAATGACTGCGTGGTATTGGCTGGTGTTGTTTGAGTAAAACGTATTTTTTTAAATTTTGTGTCCTCCATTTTCGTTTACTTTTTGTAGTAGGTTCCAGGAATAAAGAAAGATATAACGGATGTTTCAAATCCATTTATCTTTTTTGAATTATTTTCTGATGAACTGCTTGTGCTTGATATACTGAAACTAACCATTTTGTAGACGAGTATATGAACTAACACCTTGCAAACGAAAAATCAAGAACAAAATCAGGGCATTCAACCAGTTCAGAAGAGATATATGTTTTTTAGGCATACTGATTTCACAAGGTATAACACTGAAACCTGATATTACACGTTACTGGTCTAAAATTGAATTGATCGAAACTCCATTTTAGGGATCTTTTTTATTATAAAAACATTGTTTTTATTATACTTACATATTTTTTATTATACTTTTACTCAAAAAATTAAATTTTGTCCATTCATGTTTTCTTTTATTCTTTATTTTGTGAAAGTAAACAGTTTTTAGAAAGTAAAACTTGCACTTATTTTTCCCCTAATGCATTGCATAACTACGTGCACCTGTGTGAAAAACCGTGGCACTGGGAAAGGAATCTTGTATGTTTTCTGCGGCAGTTAAGGGGTTAATAACTGCCTGTTGCTGAGCTTGTTCTTCCAAGTGAATCTGTGTCTGAAGAGGTGTTTCAATAGCTCTCAAAGCAGTTTCTTATTCCGAAAGTATAGTCCGAAAGTTCCAAAGTATGTTAACTAAAATCCTAATTTATAGAAATATTGTTTTAATAACTGCAGAGGTAAGGGAGGTATAGGTAAAATAGTAATTAAAATAATGAAGGCCATTTTAAAAGGCATATATTTTAAAATAATCACATTTTATTGCATTGTTTATTTTCCATATTAAAATATTTACATTCTTCTTTTCAGTGAATGAAAATGTTCAGCATGTGTTACCTTGGGCTGTAAGTGCTGCAGCTCTCAGTTATGCATTGTATGCAACTATTGTATTGGTAAAAAAGAAGGGACGTGTAAATAAGAAAGTGCAGCTAGGTACTGATAAGGTTGTTCATTCTGTAGATATTGAAGATATTGGAAAGAAGTCTGTATTCTGCAGGTGCTGGAAGTCAGAAAAGGTATTTTAAATGTCATATGCATAATTTTTTCAATGATTATTAGTTAGTGTTATTTGAAACTGAAATTCTGTTGAACAGTCAGACTTGCAGAAAACTGAGTAAATACAATTTTTTCACATTATTACTGTTGTTATTATTTTATTTATCAAATATGGATTAGAAATCAGTTCTGTTCCAAAATTTTGCATTTATCAGCTACATTTTTTATCAATAATTTTTGTACCTTTCATACAGATCAAGTTTTGAATAATGTTGTATGTACAGTTTTCTTCCGTATTAGTAACTAGCGACCCACTTCGGCTTCGCACGGGTATAAAATATATAGCCTATGTAACTCACTGAAAAACGTATAAGATATGTATTCTATTAAGTTCTACATATAACGTCACAACAAAAGATACATATTCTATTAAGTTCTTTTTCTGAACTTACATACCTCACCTTAAATTACGATTTTTGAAAATAATTTCTCTAATATTAAATTGATTTAACTCTTAAATTTTAACCAAGATCTTAATAGAAAAATTCCAATCCTAAAATTATGGTTTTATTTAAATCTAATCTTATCTAACCTTATGTAACTTATTACTATAAGTGCGATTTAAAAATTAACCTTAGAATAGAATATCATTTATATTTTAAAACTACTATCATACAATTATGTATCGTAACTTACTTATAATAACTGATATGTTTTTATTAAGTATATTGTAATTTTCCTCACTAGAGAGCTCTGATAATAAACGCGTCCGATCACTGCTAAATTCAAAGTGCTATAGGGAGAACCGTGGCCTCCGACGCGCTATTTATAGGCACGCTCCCGCCACCTGGTACCACCGCACGCTGCATCCCGCAATTTTTAAATCTGTAGACCTTTTCAGTGTGTACAATACTTAGTACATTATTTTGATAAATCTTGTAGGGTTCAGCCTGTGTTTGCAATGTAAGTGGGAAAAATGTAATTATTTACGACATCACATTAGAAACCTAAAAAAATAACAGTATTTCTCCACTATTTAATGGATGTTATTATACATATAAACCTTCCTCTTCAATCACTCTAAAAAAAACCGCATCAAAATCCATTGCGTAGTTTAAAAGATTTAAGCATACATAGGTATATAGGGACAGAGAAAGCAACTTTGTTTTATACTATGTAGTGATTACAATTCTCTAACAAATCGAGTAAGCAAATGTGTGAATCTCTGCTAAGATGCTGGTGTTATACATACTAAGCTCATTCATCTCATATCTTAAAATAACATCAAAAAAGTTTGCCGAATGCAAACCGTAAAACTAGATCATAATAATAAGGCTTATAACTTCCTATTGATTGTACTACTGGAATCTTAAAATTCACAGTTTTAAATATATAAAAATAATATCTTACCTGTTTTTCAAAATAAGTCTTTTTAGGATTCCATTTTAAATTGTTTTACAAATTGCTGCCATCTTCACTCCAAAATAAAGAATAATTAATTTAGCTATTTTGATATTTTTCACTGTTTTCAAACATTGAGTTAGTATTTTTGTGTGTTAATAGTTTGTACAAACTTTGTGAATAAACATGCCAGAAGTCTTTAAATTTAACCAAAAGTCAACATTTTTTTCTATTTCCAAACAGTAGCAGTTTTTCCAGGTGAAGATATCCTGAGCAAATCTGAATGCCTTCATCAGTTTCCATCCCAAATATATAGGGAATGTTTTTTAAAAAAAATGGTAACGCTAATGTGATATATCAGCTGAGTGCATCCATGTCTCGCATTTTCATTTCTTTCTCTTCACCTTTTCTAATATGAGATCCTCTGTGAAGAAAAATTAATATTTTTTGAAACTGCCAATTGAAAAATACAAAAATTCAACATTACATAAATTTTAAATATAGGATTCCGAAAAAGAATATTAAATTAAAAATGCATGTAATGGATTATTTGGATCATCATATCTAATACAGTCAAAAGTCGTTAATTTGGACACCCATAATTCGGATGATCTATAATCCGGACCTCAAAACTAAAAACTTTCTGCGCATGCGCCGTGTTGACACATGCGCATAGGCGTTTACTCGTGCGCGTAAGACCTTTTACGACTGCGCATGTGAGTGGGCGCAAGTGCAGAATACGTTTTCGCGTGGTGCGTTTTATGTATAATGGACGTATAAGCTAAAATTATATAATTATCTATTTCAGTTAATGTTGATGATTGCATTGTTCCTTAATTTTCGAATTGGTTCCGGCTTATTATTTTTTGCAGACTGTAAGAGCAATTTTATAAAAGTAAGGTTAAACTTTCGATTATATCAAATAGAATTTCCGATATATATTTGTTAATATATAAAGGATCTAAAGCGAAAGTATGTTTTGAAATCCGAAATCTGTTTATCAATTTCACGTAGCTCGGCGGGGGGAACGTTGCGGCGGGCCACGTAATGAATTGGAAGTTGATCTGTCAGCACTATCCCCTTATCTTTCAGCGGCAGATGTTTTTATTTTATTTGGCTTATAATTCCTTACCAAATGTAGTATTTCATCTCGATATGCTCCCTCTTGATATGATTTAAAACAAGTTCCTTGTCATTATAATTCGCTTCCGATTACCGAAGAAGAAAATGACAGAGGTTTGAAAACGAAAAATTTCGATTGACAAATTAGTTCGGTGTTCTCGACACAGCAATTATAGGACTTGAACAGCGGAACTTTGTAACTGAACAGGAAAATTATGTCTGTTCAATAGAATTAAAGAGAAAGTATTATCACATGAAACGAAGCAAACTTAAAACACTTACATTGAAGAAATGTTTAAAAAAGTAAACAAATAAATATTAAGCTTTTTCTTTTTACAAATTTTGATACCCTTTAGGTCATAATTGTTCTTTATTTCATAAATTACGGTTTCATATTTTTAATTTTAGAATTTCTGCATGCCATCTTACGAAATTTAAACTGATGATCTATAATCCAGAATTGTCGAAGTCCCGACGAGTCCGGATTAACGACTTTTGACTGTATAGTGTATAATTGAATAATTAAGCCCTAGATGGCAATGAAACTCCTAGGATGGCCATATAATGTTGCACATGACATAATTTCATCAGTTTAGTAGAACTAGATAAATCAGTGAACCTGTAAAAATTTTAGGGTTGTTTAGAGGTAATTAAGTACCTCTTTCAACTAGTTATCCTGTGAGAAAAAAAAAAAAGAGAGGTATGTTAAAATGTAAAATATTAACCTTATTTTCTCACTTCTTGTGAGTTAACTTAAAATGATACAACACAAAAACCTAAATTTCCTTGACTTTATAGTTACTAACTGAAACATGTAATGTAACACATGTAATGTTTAATGATTTATTTTTCATGTAAACAACACTGTAACTAGCTATAACACCAGTGCTCCTTCTGAAAGCTGCAAATATTAACTGAATTGGGCATATCAGCGTTAAGTTCACACTTACCAAACCCATGCCGAATCTCTGGTGTTCACTTTTAACCCTTTGTTGCATACAAATAATCTAGAGAAGTTAAATGAAAATGTTTGTATTTTTTCAAGCAGTACAATTCACTCTTTTCGACAGATCTTTATCTACCCACTCCACAGTTTTCTCAAACTGACATTTAAAATAAAATGTCTAAAATTACTACCATTATGAATAAAATATGGCAGTATAAGAAAATGTAAGCAATATTATATGATGTTTACTATGAGAAATGGTACTAACTTGGAAACAGAAGCCCATTTTCCAAATAGCAATGCTTTACTTGGTGATGCTATATAGCCATCTATGATTGACAGTTGAAAGTTCTAATAATATAGAATGAATAAACACAAGAATGGAATCTGTTAAGCCATTTACAGAAGAATAAACAAATTTAAACTTTTGTCTACTAGAGAGGACATGATGCAACAAAGGATTAATTTAACAGTGGCTTCTATTAGGCCAGACACATGGTAGCAGCCAAGATCTCTGTTAAAAGTCATATAGGTTACCATTCTTCCTTTCATTTTAAACTATGCCTCTTGCCATAAAATCTCCATAAACCTTTGCATTGTGTTATGAAATGGGGCATAAAGATAAGACTCAAGAATAAATCTTACCTGTTAGTTAAATGAAATGTCATAAACCAATTAATATTTAAAGGTGATGAAAATTTTAGAGATTTTATTCAAAGAAAGAAACTTGAATAGTTGTCTTTAAGATTCTTTATTTAAAATGTTTTCAAAATTTGATAAAATATTGATAAGGGAATAAAAGGAAAATATGAGACTTTAACAATTCATCAAAAGTTGAGTATTATTAATCTGCTAGAAAAAATAAGAATACAAATGTTGTACTGTTAAATATAAAATGATAAAATATAGAAAACTATAAGAGTTGAAAAATAATGAATATTCTTAGTGTAGGAATGATTTAATTAAAAAAGAAAGGAATTCACTTCTTGGTATTCAAAGATGAATCTGAAAATTTGAAATAGATAATAAAACAAATTCCAAATTTGGACTTCCAGATGCTCATATTTGAGTGGAAACATACATTATTCAAAATTAGTTGACTCTAGGTACAGTTGTTTTATCACAATGTGAGAAACATACATACATTTAGGCAGATTCTTCATTATTTAATTTCTTTAAATATAATAGAGGGCGATATTTGGTGGCAACAATTTGAAAAATGAACCCACATTTAAAGTGAACCAATGCAAAATGCCAAAACGAAATTAATAACCCTTCTAGGCAAATTGCCTCTTTGGACCCCCCCCCTCTCAAAAAATTGTGTCTAAAAATCTATTAAATTTATCAGTTGTGTTGGTGTCTAAAATTAAATATTTACATTGTTATCTGATACCTGTTATCCCTTCTGCTGTTCAAGGGCTTCTGCTGCATTAAAAGAACGTAAATTCTCTTTTGACATGCCAGTTGACCCCAAAATCTGTATTCTTAAAGTATGAGTAAGGTCATACAAGAGAAGTTATATGTAATATTGCTGCTTAATAAAATGAGGCT